TCCAATCCCTTGATTGTCCCACTCACCCTACTGCGTCTCCTCTGCTTGAAGGAAGGCCCCAGATAATGGCTAAGAGAAGCCTTTTCCTACAGAAATGGAGGAGGTAAGCTCCTGAGGCTGATCACCAACATAATCCCTCATATCTATGAAGTGATTTTCCATTTTCAAAGCACTTTCACATCCATGAGCACATGCCAAGCCTTTTCAGTAAGTATTGCTATCCCCATATTACAGAAAAAGAAGTTAAGCTATCTGCCCCAATTCTGTGACTGTCACACAGAGCGTGGGGATCTCCAGAGGTCTCCTGTTTCCTGGTTGACAGATATTTTTGCTGCATGTTTTCTCTGTCTCTAGGATGGAGGAGGGGGGAGGGGGCCTAGTGGGAGAAAAGAGATGAGAATCTGCGGGAAGCCAGCATTGGAGGCTACTGACAGAGCTTTGGAGACCAGGCTATTGAGAAGGAGCGGGGTAGCCTGTGGAGTAGGGAAGTGGGAAGCCGCAGGTGCAGTCCTGCGGTGGCCTCCTTACCAGAAGCATCTGTGGCTGCACTGGCAGCCTCTGCAAAGAGGGAGGGAGCAGGGCTTGAGATTGGGGAGGAAGGGTCACCAAGTATGTTTTCTGGGAAAAGGTCTAGGAGGGCCGACCCCCACCTCCACCAATAGCCACATTTTCCCCAGCTTCATGACCGCTTACTTTTTGCAACACTCAGGCGGTGGTTCCCAGGCCTCCCCCCTACCCCATGGGAGGTTTGGATGGCAAATTTCAGAGCCCAGCCTAGTCTCAGCCAGCTGACACCTGCAGCCCCTTGGAGAAACTGTCAGCCACAGAGTGGAGCAGATAGAACCCATCCTCACCTCAACCTCATTCGTTTCAAAGGACTAGCTCCACCCTGGGTGGGCCTGAGTGGTGAAACCTAGGCTATTTGCTCATCTCCTCTGCGGAGGATTAACAGCAGGGGCTCAGGCCTGAACCCTAAGTTCTCTGTCTGGTGGGGAAAGTGGGACAGGGAACTTTCTGAATCTGCCCAGGCCCCTGCCCTGCCCCATGAAGCTGAGATGACCAGTTCATGGTAGGGGAAACACTGACGAATGTGAACAGAGCTCTGAGTGAGCACACTATGGCCTCTCTCCTGACACACTTGATTTGGCAAGGGCCTGGCCCTCATTTGACCTCCAGAACTCCCAGATAACAGGTACACGGTAGGAGTGGGGGTGGGGGTACTCAGAGATGCCCCTCACCTTGTCTTGGCCTATCTCTTTTTCAGGCACTGTTCTATCTTATGATAGAGAGGCTGCAAGATGGCCCCCAGTGATTTCAACCCTGTTCAATTCACACCCTTATGTTGTCCCTCTTACACTGTGCCAGGGTTGGTTTGTGTGACTCTCTTAGGCTGGGTTCTCTAGAGAAGCAAAACCAGTGAAGCATACATATATATGTATATATACATATACATGTGTAGATAGACAAATACATAGAGAGATTTATCTCAAAGAAATGGCTCACGCAGTTGTAGAGGCTGGCAAGTCCCAAGTCCATGGGTCAGGCATCAGGCTGGAGGCTTCTCCTGACTTATGTAGCTGCAGGGGCTGATGAACACAAGATTGGCAGGCAATACAGCAGGCCGCTGGCTTAGGTCCCAAAGAACCGGAGGTCAGATAATGACAAGCCCAGTGCAGGATCCAGGACAAGTGAAAGCCAGCAAGCTTTGCCAGAATGCAGGCTACGCCTCTGAGGAAACTCGCCTTACAACTGACCGGCTGGTCACATCAGATCACATCATGGAAGTGATTACATTATATCACAAAATGGAGAATACCAACATTACAATATTACATAACTGCCAAAATACATCATCACGTAACTGCCAAACCACTGAGAATCATAGGGCAGAAGTGATAGTATGCCATTTCTGAGATTACGTTATGAAAGCTTGGTGGCTCTGTCTTGGCCACTCTCTCCCTCGGGGGGGAAGTCAGCTGCCACATTTTGAGCAGCCCTATGAAGAGGCCCATGTGAGGAGGAACTAAGGTCTCTGGCCAGCAACCATGTAAATGAGCTTCTTGAAAGTGGATCCTCTAGCCCCAAGAAAGCCTTCAAATGATTGTGGGCTCAGCCTACATCTTGTGAGACCCTGAGCAGAACTATGCAACTAAACTGCTCCTGGATTCCTGATCTTCAGAATCTGTGTGAGATAACCCATGTTTGTTGTTTTAAACTGCTATATTTGGGGGTGATTTGTTACACAGCAATAGATAACTAATACACTCTCCTTCCTCCTTAGCAAGGACCTAAGATGATTGCCCACCCAAGGAATCTCCCTGAGCTCCCTGCCTGCTTGAGGCCCCTTCCCCTCCAGGAGCCCAGCCTGAAACACTGGTTTGCATATAAATTTTGAGGTGCCCAGTGAATCCACCTAGCTCCCTGGGAGACCTGGAGGTTTTATCCTGCTAGAGGGGAAATGGAGCCCTAGTGGCATAGTGGTTAAAAGCTATGGCTGCTAACTAAAAGGTTGGCAGTTTGAATCTACCAGCTGCTCCTTGGAAACCCTATGGGGCAGTTCTACTCTTGCTATGAGCTAATGGCAAGGGGTTTGGTTTTTGCTTTTTTAGATGGGAAATGGTGCTTTGGGGGAGAGGGGCAGGAATGTCTCACTCTTTAAGGAAGAACGCACAGAAAAAGGGAGTAAGAATTAATAAAGGAAGCACTGTATGCACAAACCCCCCAAACCCCTCTTTCTTCCTCCCTTTGTTCTTCTCTTCCCTAGGGGGTGGGGGAACAACGTGGCCCTTCACTCTGCCTCTGTCCCCTCCCTGTCCCCCTTCTTGCAGGAGTAGGGGGAAGTCCCTGCCTAGGCCCCAGTGAATCTTCAATGACTATTTCATAAACTCAAAGGGCATAGGATGTTATCTAGTAGAAAGGGAAAATGCCACCCACAGAACTTTCCAGGAAACCCCTGCCTCATTAAAACATGAGGGCTTCTACTAAGACCATGGAGAGCGGGATCCTGGGGCAGAGCTGAAGAGACCCCCTCAGCACCTGTCCCCACCCAGACAACCACAAAGGGTAGAAATGTTACTTTGAAGATTTCTAAAGGGGATTTCAGGCCTTCGCCTCCTAGTATGATCCTCTCTGGTGAGCGCCAGAGCCTCCTCCTTTCTGTGCCACTGTTTCTCCACCTGTGACCAGACTAGGGAAACCACCTTCCTAAAGCTCAGAGCCTCAGATTGCCTCAAATGGCTCATTGTTTAGGTTTCAGAGGGTGCCCCCTATCTCCTTAAGGCTCCACCCTCAAATTTCTGGCTATTGTGTCTCCACGGGGACAGTCTCCAGCCTTGTTCTGGTCTCTTTGTGTCATTCTGCTTACCGCACCCAGGCCCAGAGTAACACCTGATAGGGCATCTGCCACAGCACATGTATATACCGCAGTGTGCCTCCTGCAAGCTTGCTCTCATTCTCTTTCAATATTTTTTCCTCCTGTACAGGGTTAAAGTTCCCTGAAAGAGCTGTCTGCAGCCAAAGTCCAATGCCCTGTGCACATTGCCGGCGGAGGTCGAGGTCCCCTTGCCAGATTGTGGGGGTGCTGTTGACCAAGGCTGTGTGTGTTCTCTGCTGAAAGGATGGTCTGCGTGGTGCACACATATGTTCTCTCCAAGAGAGGCACATGCGGGCAGGGGCAGGCTCGTGAGCCTTCTATATCATTGTTTGCCTCCTTTCACCTTCACTAGCGGGTAATCAGACAAGCACATCACATGCACGGAGCACTTCACAGTTTTCAAAGCCCTTTTTCACCAGATATTCGCAACAACCCATTTTGGTGGGTTATTATCATTATCTCATTTAATAGATAAAGAGACTGAGGCTCAGGGAGATTGACCATGGTCACATCTGGAACAGCAGTAGAGCCAGGATCAGAAGCCAGGTCTCCTGACGCCCAAAGTTGCAGCAGCAGCCAGCTGTCTTTCTGGATGTTTTTCTCCCCCACAGTGGCCTTTGTTCACAGCACTCCCCTTTGTCAGATTTGGATTATATACCTTGCCAGGGCCAGGGCTGTTATCTCCTGAAGCATGCATTGTGCAGCCTCTCTGTTGAAGGGTGCACAGGCCGTGTGACAGCTGCTGGGCGCACACTTGTGTGCTGGACATCAAGAGAGCACGCCACAAAAGCAGCGTCTTGTACACACTGGGCGTGTGCTCCACCGGAGTCCACTGCAGTGTTCAATTTCTTCCAGCCTGCCTGCCTGACCTCCGGTGGTGTGTGGTGAGTAGTGACCACTGGGTGGCAGTGTGTTCTCATGCCTGGGACCAGACAAGTTGCCAAGGGCTGGGGAACGTGGGGGTTGGGGCAGAGATCTGTAGGAACCTCGGCCAGCTGCCCAGAAAGGTTTCAAGACCTGATCCCTTGGAGGACTTGACATGGCAGCAGGGCTCCTCCCTAGCCTAGGAGCTCCTCTGTACGTGTGTGTGTGTCTGTGTGTGTCTGTGTGTCTGTGTGTGTCTGTGTCTGTGTGTCTGCTGCAGCCAGGGAGCCACGGACAGGTGCTGAAGTGCAACTGAATGTGGGGTGGGGTGCGGAAAGACAAAAATATAAAGGAAATCAGGGCAGCCAGCACGATATGGGTGGAAGGACAGGGGAGAGGCGGGCTGTAGAGATAAGAGGGGGTGAGGGCTTTTTTGGAGCTTAAAAAAAAAAATTACTACCCAAGTGAGAGAGAGAGGGAAAGAGAGAGACAGAGCAAGAGCGAGATTAAGAATAAACACAGAGAGGCCAGAAACAGAAAAGGGAAAAATGGGAATAGGAAAATGAGAGAGATTGGCTGGGGAAAGTGGGTTAGGAGGCTGGGGTGGGAGAAGAGAGCCCCAGAGGCTGGGGAGAGACAGGAACCTTCACTGGACAAGAAGGAGTCAGACTCAGGCTTGCTGCTGACAGGGAGTTTATTTATGGGCTGAGATGGAGGGATAAAGACTGAGCTGCTGAGATCGGCTGGCTGCCTTATCTCCAGGTCAGGGCTTCTCTGGCTCCAGCTCCGGCTCCAGGTTGGGCTCCGGCTTCGGCTCCAGCTCTTGCTCTGGTTCTAGCTCCAGTTCTTGCTCCAGCTCCTCTATCTTGCTCTGAGCCTGAGGAGGGTGAATCCCATTCTCTAGGGCAGAGAATCTTCTTCGTCTCCACTGTGGGAAGAGATTAAGAGGGAGATGAAGGGTGGGAGGAGAAGGATGAAGGGAAAGGAAATAGGAAGGATGCTGAGTGCATCTATTCTCCTTTCCTGGCCATCCAGCCCTTCCCACTGGTCCTAGGCCTTCTCTCAGCCCTTTCATGCCTCCCCAGGCAAGGGGTCCCTGGAGAGCAGAGGCAAATTCAGCGGCCCACCTTGGGCATCTTCCCTAAGGAAGGGGTGCCAAACAGGACTCTCAGGATTGGGGAGAGAAAAGGCAGTGTTGGGGGAGGGCCCCACTAACCTGTCTTCTCCAAAGGTGAAAGCCAAAGGCTCCAGTCATAAAGAGGAGCAGCAAAAGGATACCAAGGATGAGAAAGAGAGGGAAATGGCCTGTTTTCATGGCACTGGGGGTTCCCCCAGAGCGTTGGGCACCTGTGGAGAAAGAACAGGATTAGGCACAGGGTCAGGGCTGAAAAGATCATCTTGCTACCCTCTCATAGTTTACAAATGTAGACAATGGGGCCCAGAGAGTTTAAGGCTTGCCCAGGGTCATTCAGCTAATTAGCAGCAGAAGTGGGTCAGGCCTAGACAAGAGATAGAGGTCAGGTTCCAGATTGGGAAGAAAAGAGCTGGGACAGGGGTGGGTCTGGGAGGGGGGTCAAGATGATTGGTCTGGAGTTGGGGCTGTGGTGTTTTGGGGTCTCAGACCTGGGCCAGACAGCTCTGTGACATATAACACTGATCCAAGTAGTCTCTTGCCCTGGTACAACTGGCACTGCCAGGATTGGGAAAGGAGCCTGGCCTCCTGCATTTCCAGCCAGGGCCCTGGAGAACTCCTCCAAGACTGGTTGCTCAGGGGAGTCCACACAAAGTGCTCTTGTCCAGACGCCGGAGTCACCTCACAAAGCAGCTTCCCCGGGGAGCCAGGTAACCCAAAGGATTTGGGAGTCACTGAAAAAATTAGAGGAAAGAAATCTTTTGAGGTCTGACCTCATTACCTAATACTACAGGTACACCTCCCAGTCACCCTGCCCTCACCTGGGTTCTGACTGGGTGAGGTTGCGGGGAAGAAATCAGGGGTCATAACTAAATTAATCTTAACAAGACAATGCTTTTGGTCAGATCACTCCCCTGCTCAAAAACTTTCCAGGCTCCCTACTGCCTTCAGGGTATTGCTCAAACTCAAACTGGCCCTGAAGGACCACCTGATACTACTCCAGATTCTTTTACATTACTTTCTACTCAACTCAGAACCCTTAACATCAGTCAGGTGAGTTAGCCCCCAGTATATACCTCGTACCTTTCCTGCTTCATGACTTGGCTCTTATCAGTGTCCCTATCTTGATGTCCCCCCTGAATGTTCTCTATCTGCCCTTCAGAATGTTTAGAGAACAGTCATCTGACCAACTGTTCTAGAGACAGAGCCTTCTCAAAGCTATACAGTTAGAGATAGGGTGGATAAAACCAAAACCAAACCAGTTGCTGTAGAGTTGATCCAACTTATGGCGAACCCATGGTGTCAGAGTAGAAATGCGCTCCATAGGATTTTCAAGGCTATGATCTTTCAGAAGCAAATTGCCGGGCCTTTCTTTTCAGGCACCTCTGGGTGGATTCACACTGCCAACCTTTTGGTTAGTAGTCAAGTACCTAACTGTTTCCACCACCCAGGGACTCTTATAGGGTAGTTAAAAACCAAAAACCAAACCCACTGCCTTCAAGTCAATTCTGACTCATGGCGACCCCATGTGTTATAGAGTAGAACTGCTCCATAGGGTTTTCAAGGCTGTGACCTTTTGGAAGATTGCCAGGCCTTTCTTCCATGGCACCACTGAGTGGGTTTGAACCTCCAAGCTTTAGGTTAGTAGCCAAGTGCAAACCGCTTGCACCATACAGGGACCTGATACGGCGGATGGAAGACAAAAGGTGAAGGGCCTTGATCTGAGCATGGTGTACAGGAAGGTGAAGATTTGATGGCAAAAATACCTGAGTTTAGACTCTGAGTCTAGAACTTCCCAACTGTGTGCCTTTGGAAAAGTTTCCCTCTTGGTGAAACAAAGGTAATAAGACCTCTCTCATCAAAATGTTGTGGAGATACCATGGGAAAACTCCATGAAGCAGTTGGTCCTCAAGAAAAAAGACATTGGACTGAAAGAATTAGTGGGCATTGGTGAATGACTTCATGTAGGGAGAGAAGGAGAAGGCCAGGTTTCAAATGAAGTTACTGACAGAAAGGCTTAAGGCAGTAAGAGGATTGGGTGTGAGGAAAAGATGGGGTTCAGCATTACACTGCAGTGTGGGTACGATATCTAGGTAGAGATAGCCAGGAAACAGGTGGAAATGCAGTGCTGACCCTCAGGAGATGTATTATTTGTTAGCTTATTCATTTATTCATTCAACCGAAACACATTATTAAGCACACAGTTGTTAAAGTGCTCAGCTGCTAACCAAAAGGTCAGTGGTTCAAACCCAGCAGCTGCTTCACAGGAGAAAAGATGTGGCAGTCTGCTTCCTCAGAAACCTTATAAGGGCAGTTCTACAATAGCCTATAGGTTCACTGTGAGTCGGAATCGACTCGACAGCAACGGGTTGTTTTTGTTGATATGATACTACTATTTAGTGGCCGAGATGAGGACCGCAGACATAGCCAAGCTGTCATGGCTGATAGTTACCAATCAATCCACACATACTTTCTGAGTATTTTTTTTCTGTGTTTGTTTTATACTGTCTTGGAAGGCCTTTGTTCAGTAAATATTTGCTAACCAAGGGACTGATGACTCCTCCCAAATCCAAGCAATGTCCTGCAACTTTAACCCAAGCCTTGTCCCCAAAGTGGACAAGGATTATGGAAATATATTCCACCTCTTTTGAACCATTCAGACTTTTGCCATCTCTTCTCCCAACTGCTCAGACCCTCCCGCCAATTCAGGGCAGGGGAGTCCCTTAGAGAACAATGGAACGTTTATCTTGTGACTCAAGGGGAGATTTTCAGTTTCAGTTCTTTACAAAGGGGGTGAGAAAAGAGGAGGCCACATTGGGCAGCCTCTGGAACTTGTGCCCAGTGCCTGGCATCACGGCTATGGATTTGCCCAGTCTTTGCCCAGCCAGCCATCCCTCCCTGTCCTGGGGCTGACCTGTGATGACTGCCAAAGTGATGGTGGCACTAAGCTCCTGTCCTTGCAGATGGATGTGGCAGGTGTAGGTACCAGACTGTGCCTGGCTCACGGCCTCCAGCCAAAGAGTAAAACTGCCATTGTCTTCAGCCACCTGGAGGTCAGGGCCTCCCCCAGGCCGGGCCCACCTGGCGGTGAGGGAAGACTGGGTCCCCACAGCAAGAGGCAGGCGGCAGGGCAGTTCCACCCTGGAACCTGCTCCAGCATATACTGTCAGTGGGGCTGTGGGCTCCAGACCTGGAAGAAAAAGGAACCCAAAGTTAAAGTTGACAGGGGAAGGTGCAGAGGGGTTGGACTGCTGGGTCTGCAGGGAAGAAGGCAGAAGAGCAGAGGAGGTGATCCAGCTCTGAAGAGTGCTAAGGAACAGAATAAGGTAGACGAACTGATGCTGCTCAGAAACTCAGGACATGGGCTGGACCGTCATGAGACCAAAGGCTGGCAAGTGAGGCTGGATGGCCAAGGGAGAAGCTAGAAGGGGAAAAGGCAGCTGAAAGGCTGCCACATGAGAAAGGGGTCGGACAGCGGGGCCAGAGCAATCACAGGTGGCACTAGCTGCTGAGGACTTGCTTTGGGGACCAAAAAGTTAGGGGAGGTGACAGGGGGCAGGAAGGGGTTGTGGTCAAGTGTGAAGGCAGGCTGGAGGAGTTACCTAGAACCGTGAGGTTGTATGTAATGGAGACAATGAAGCCATCTCTGTAGGTGAGGATGCAGCCCCAGGGCCCAGAATCTGAGGGGCTGACTTGAGGCAGGAAGAGGAAGCTTCCGCCCAAGTGGTGCTGGGGGGACTTCTGGACAGGGTCCCGAGCCAGGCCCCGGAACCAGCGCACAGAGGCTGGGAGGTCAGGGCGGCTGAAGGAGCAATTCAAAACAACCGACTCAGAAGTCCTGAGAGGTCCTGGGGAGCTGGCAGTCACTGTGCAAAGGGTAAAGAAGGCTGGGTCAGCCCCACCCCAGAACATTTTCCCATCTCAGTGGGCCAGCTAATGTAGAAGCTTCTGGAAACAGGGACCATGCTTTAGATGTCTTTGTCCTTCTCTCCTCTGCCCCAGCCTAGGGCCTGGCACCTGGAGGTACTTAAAATGGATGCCCACTTTCCCCTGCCCCCTGCCTCCAGTTTACTTGGCATCTTCTACTCTTCTCTTTCTCCAGGCCATGCCTGAGGATCCCCACTAAGCCCACCACCAGAGCTACAGATGTCTGAAACGAATCACTCTAGCCCAGCAGTCTTCCCACACCCTCTAGCCCCTAGAAGAGAGGGAGTCCTTGGTACCTCCCCACCCCCACCAAAGGCACTCTGGCACTCTCTCTGTGGGTGGGGGAAGGCAAGCCGAAGGGGTGATACAATCTCTCCATTGGGCCCCCCCCCCATGCATGTGCTTCTCTGGGGGCACCTTCCACTCCGCGGTATGGACCCCCACCCCCTTTCTCTACCCATCTGGGAGCGCTCTGGCAGTCTAAGGGCGCATCCTCAGAGGCACAGCCTCCCTTAGCCCTTCCTGCCTCCCAGGCGGCAGTGAGTGAGGGGCCCTCCTCCCAGCCCCTCGCCCCTCGTCCCGCCCCCACCTACTTGAGCCCTGGCCCACGCGCAGGCAGAGGTGGCAGGAGAGGGCATGGTTCCTGAAGCGCACAGTGGCTCTGTACTCTCCAGCATCGGCGCGCCGGGCTGGGCGCAGCCACAGCGAGAAGTCCCCGCGTTGGAGATCGCGCTCCGCCACCTGCACCCGGGGCTGCAGGGGCTGCCTCCCGCTGCGCAGGCCTCCCGGCGCCACGCTCAGCACCGTGTAGCGGCGGGATCCGGGCCCCAGAGGGGAGGGCGCCCCGGAGCGCGGGCCAGGGGTCGTGGTGCTGCCGGGCGCCGGGCTGGGCCGGCCACTGGGCGGGAGAGAGAGAGATGGCATTGAGAAAGTCGAGGGGGAAGCAGCCCCAGAGCAGAGCAGACTAGTCTTCTTTTGAGGACTAGGAAGCCTGCCCAAAAAGGAGGTCTCTTGACCACCAGCCTTCCTCCCCTGCCCTCCTTCCCCTCCCCCGCGCCGGGCAGCACCATCCACTACAGGAGAAGCAGGCATACTATGGGATGCAGGTGTGAGGGAGCAGTCTTCCGCGGAAGGGCGGGAGAGGTGCAAGGCGGCAGGTGAGGCTGAGACCCTGGCTTCAGGGGGACTGGGAGCTCAGGGGAGGGGCAGAGGGTTGTGTGGCATGCCCTGAGGGGACATTGGAAGGGTTGGGTATTGGGTTGTGAGTCTGGCTGCCATTAGGGCTGGGTTTGGGAGTTCTGTTGCCCAGGTTTGGGGTGCATACCTGTCTGGTTGGTGCTGCCAAGTGACTGCTGCACTTCGCAGAAGGCTGAGGGGGATTTTGGGGCTGCAGGGGAGTCGGACAGGAGCCCCCTCCTGGGCCCACACCACCGGGACCTTTGCCCCAGGCCCTGAAGCCTCCACTGGGGAGTAAAAGAGAGGCCAAGGGGAGGGGCCATGAGCCAAGAGACTTAGGAGTAGAGAAAGAGCCCAGTGATTCCCAAGAGAGAAAAAGTCTAGGAAGAGCTTGGTTTCTGTCCCTTGCCTAACAAGGGTGAGACAGCAGAGAGGCTTTGGGGCTAGAAGGACTGCCCCAAGAAAGACATTAGAAGAATCCAGCACCAGAGCTAAGGGCCACAGGATCTGTGGGGTCATAGAGAGATCCCTGCTGGCCCTCTTCGTGGATCTGGAGGTCAGCCCTCCCACCATCACCACCTTACCTGGAGCCACCCACAGCGGTTGCAGAAGCAGCAAGACCAGGAACTGCGCCTCCCACATCTCCCCTATGGCCCGGGCCACAATAAGCCCTCCAACGGGAGGAGGTCAGTAAAGAGGTAGGGGGGACAAAGTAGGGGTTCTACAAAGAGGGAGGTGAAGGAAGAGAATCTAGAGGGAGGGGGATGGGAGGGGGGCCTGAGAGAGAGAGGAGCAACCAACAATCAGAAGCTAGAATCCAGGGAAAACCTGGCCAGATCAGGTAGCCTGAGGGTGGGGTAGGGATGGGGGTGTCCCAGGGAACGGGGCAGGGCAGTGGCAGAGAGCAGAGTGGAGGCAAGCTGGCTGTGTGAGCTGGGATGCCTGTGTGCTGTTCCCAGGGCCCTCGCCCTGTCCTGCCATCCCTCCACCTTCCCCACTTCCCCTCCCCATTGCCCTCTCCCCCCTCCCCCCTACACGCACCTCAGAGCTTACAGTTTCGCTTCGCAGTGGAAAGTCTGAGGGGGTTGATTCCCAGCAGCATCACCCTCCACCTCTGTGGTGGCTCTCCCCTTGTTTACTTCCTCCGTCCGGGGTCTTCCCACCACCCCCTTCTTGCCCTTCCCCCACCCTCCTGACTGTTGCCTTTCCCAAGACCTTTCTGCCCTCTCTCCAAACTATTTCTGCCCTGAACAACCCACTTGCCCATCTCTAAACTACCTCCTCAGCCCAACGTTCACATTTTCTTCTTGGCAAGTCCTCTCCTTGGTCTTCATCTCCTCTTTCCTTTAACATCCCAGAATTTGATTATACACGTGCTTTCCCACCCACCGTTACAATGACTCCTGGGAATAAGGTGGACAGGAAGCTTTACTGCATCCTAAAACATGGTCTACGAGTCAGAATCCACTCGGTGGCAATGGGTTTGGTTTTGGTTTTGAAAACATGGTAGGTTTAGGGAAAGGTACCCCAAGTCTGGGGAAAATAACAGCTACGTTATATTGAGCCCTCCCTGTGAGCTAGGTACTATATTGGACACTTTACATACAGTAACTCATGGAATCTAGCATTAACCTCAACTGTACAGCTGAGAAAACTGAGGCTCAAAGATGAAATAATTTGCTAAGGTCAGACAGGGAGTGTGAAGACAAAAGCTGTGTGTATAGTCCTGACCCTGGGTGAGTTTTGAGTGTCTTCTCATCTGGGAAGAATGGTGTTGTCAGTGAGTCTACCTCTCCTGTACACCCTCCAGCTCAGACCCCTGAGCACTCAGCAACTTCCCCCAAACCAGAGGTTCTGAACTAAGAGAGGGCAAGGGTGTTAGGGAGATGGAGAAATGCAGAAACCTTCTAAGCAAGACCAAACTCTATAAAACAGGCAGAGGAACCAGGGAAGGAAGTGCGACACTGACAGAGGGGAACTCCTGCTCCAGCACAGCTGGGAGAACTAGAAGGCAGTGGCAGGGAGTGCTGGGACAGCAATACAGGCAGCAAGTGGCCTGGAAACAAGAGACCCTAGGGTTCTCCTTGCTTGACCAGAAGGAGCTCACTTCCTCAGGGCCAGGACAGGGCATCATCTTTGATGCCAGGCAGCTCTCCCTCCAGGATCCTGGGGGGCTGAGACACAGGCCTACAACCCCTCTCCCATTTCAGGGGTGGGACTTCCTGTTCCTGGGGCTGTTTCTATTTGCCTGGTTCAGCACAATAGTGCTGTAGCTTTCCACTGGGCTCAGCAGTGTCTAGGCCTTGTGTGGGTTAGCAGGGAACTGTGTGTATTGCTGGGGAGGAGCATCCCCAAGAATCCAAAAATGGGACAGAAGTCAGCTCTCAAAAGCAGCTGTGCTCCCTGTCCACCCCTAGAGTGCTCATCCTGTCTTTGGGAGTATGCTACTTTTTTATAAATTGAAAGGGTCCTAACAAGATGTGTCGTCAGCCACCCTCCTCCCTCACTGTATTGACTGGGCCCCTGGAAAGCAGGAGACAGGTTAAAAACAGAAGCACGACCATTTCTTTATTAAATTATACAAAAAGGGGAGGATAGGGGGGCAGCTGTGGGGTTCCGTCCGACCCTGGCCCCACCCCGGCCTGGCGCTGTCTGAGAGGAGGGGATCTGAGGGAGATCCAGGGATCAGGCAGGATAGGGATGGGGCAGAAAATGAGGCTGAGGGATGCAGAGATTAGGTAGGAGAGGCTACCAGAGAAGGGTAGGATTGGCTGGGGGGAAGGAGGAAGAGATCAAGGAGACAGAGAGGAGGGATTGGGGACCAGCTGGGGAGCTCAGATGGAGCAGGTCAGGAAGTGGAACAATGGCAGAGTGAGGATGGACGGGGCAGTGTCTGGAGAGGCAGAAATGAGAAGACTGGGGAGGAAGAAGAGGGTGGCAGCTCTGGTGTGGGGGCCCAGAGCAGGGAGCCAGGTGAAGAGTGGCTATACTTGTCCATTCCCACTCCCACCTCCAGGCCCCGAGGGCCTCCAACCCCCAGCCCGTTGGCAGGGGGCTCATGCTGATGCCCCGTTTTCTGTCTTCTGCCGCTTGGGATCTGCTTCATCCTGTAGAGAGGGAAAGAATTGGGGTAGCTGTAAAATGGGAGAGGGGACCTCCCCCTGTCCTAGCCCTGTTCCAGCCCCCACCCAGGCCACCACAGGGATCTGGGTCCAAATCCAAAGGGGTCCCAGCCCCTGCTGCATCTCTGACAGCCCCTCAGGACCCACAACCCAGCCCAAACCTCCTCTTCAGCAGCTCTCTTCAGCGCTGGCCCTTCGTCATCCTCTTCTTCTTCTTCCTCATCTGAGGAGCCAGAAATGGGTCATTGGGGAAGGACAGGAAGCTCCGGCAGTTACCCCCTGAGGTCATCCTCAGCCTTGCTTCAGGTCTTCAAACCCACCCTGACTGTTCCTTTGAGTTCCATTTCACCCAGCCCAGCCTCTCCTGCCCCTCCCCACCTTCTTCTTCTCCTTCATCCTCCTCCTCTCCATCCTCAGCAGTTTCTTCTTCTTCCTCAGCCCCGTTCTCCTCCTCCTGTGGGAACAAGGAGAGGAAGCAGTGTCAGGTTGGCTGTGTGTCTCCACCCACCACCACCAGGGCCATGGAATGGGGCAGGGGGTGATAAAAGGACTTGGGAGGCACCTCAGGGTAGGACAGTGAGGGTGGGAGGGGACAAGAAATAAAAGGTAGGACTCAGCTCCCAGGAGGTAACTGTGAGGAAGGATGAGATAATCGGGGAAGGGTGGATTGCAGGGCAGGTGTGGTTACCTCCCACCTGACCCCACCCCCACACACACACCTCCACCACTTCTTTCTTCCGCTCTTTCCGGCTTGCCTTCTCCTCCACCTTCTCTTTCTTCTCCTTCAGGTCCTGCAAGGGAGAAAGAGGTCACCTTTGTCCCACCACAAATGATCTGCCATCCTCAAGTCCCTCTAGCCCCGTTCTCCCTCTCTGCAGTGAGCTTGGAGGAGTGTGGAACGGAGAAGGTGGCCACAGCTTAGAGACAGAACACAGGTCCTCAGGGTCCTTACACTAGAGCCAGCAAAAGGGCTGAAACCTCAGACCTCCTTCCCCCAGACTCAGCAGGAGAGGTAAAGTGTTGAAGCAAAGGGTAACAGGCACCAAGGTAACTGATCCCCACCCCCATCAAGTTCTTCCAAACCTCACAGGCTGAAGAGTTCAGCTCAGCAAAGCAAATCCCCTCCATCTGCTTGAAACCCTTGATGCCCCACCCCCTCTCCATGTCCCTCTGCCGCCTCCTTTGCCTGCCCTCTCCCACTGCCAGCCCTGCTCTGCCTTTTGTTTACCTCTGGGGCCTTTTCCTGAGTACCCTCTCTCCTGGGCATCTTTCCCAGCTCCCCCTCCATCTTCTCATGCCTTTGTTTCTCTGTGTCTCCCTAATCCTCACGCTCCTAATTTGCCAAACACTGCAGGAGAAGGGAGAGCATCCCACCACGATTCCTGGCATCCCATACCACTTTTCCCCACCATACCCCAAACAGTTTACACGAGATCAAGTAGTTTCCTCCTCCCTACCTCCTGTGGTGTGTGTGTTGCTGTATTGGAAGAGTAGAAGAAACTATTTCCAGTGGAAATGTAGGTAAAAAGGATAAAAGAAACATGGAAGAGAAGGAGTATCAGACATGGCAGATGAAGAGACAACACAAGGTCTGTGTCTAGGGTGGGATGAGAATGTAGTTGAGGCAGGTACCTGTCTGGTGTATCCTCCCACTACACTTCCCCGGTCTCCTTCACCCTAAGATCCCAGCAGGCACACCCTTGATGTCCTAGTCTGATGTGGCAGAGGTAGATGCTCATGTGAGAGTCTCCTCTGGACACTGTACCTGCCTTCCAATTCAGTTTCCAGTCCTCTCTTTACTCCACCCCTTGGCAGACACTGAGTGACACTGTGGGTGTCCCTATGTGATCTGATCTGGTTTTCATGTGCAACTCTCTGTATCTGATTCCATGTGGATAGAAGTTTTCTATGTGAGTGGATCACTCTGGGAGGGTGTGTCCTTTCTGGAACAGGATTGGGGATAAAAGAGGAGGTTGCTACAGAATGGCTGGTCTTGGGGGGATACTTGATTCTCTTTCCCTTTTTAGGGGGAGCACAGAACACTTCATCCTCTCACCCCAGCTAGATTTCTCCTTCATCCTCCTTGGCTGTCCTCATTTCTTTGCCACATAGTTGGTATGGCACTTGTACTACCTGGTAGGCTTTTCCCCACAACTTGGGCCAGGAGACCCAAGGGCTAGTTAGCATCTCTCTGGGGCCCTACTCCCAAGTTTCAGTGGCCGTGGCCTAAATTTCCCATCTGGGCTGATGGAGGGAGGGAGAGTGCAAAGAAGGGAGGGAGAACACCAGAGACCAAAGTCCAAGGGGCCGGGCCCTCTCCGCTCCTGTCCTTCTGGTCACTGTCCTTCCATGATCCCTTTTCCAGGAGGATATGTGACCTAGGCCCTAGGTCTCGCGCTAAGAAGCTCTCTGGCCTCGTTTACTCAACACAGGCACACACACACTGACACAGACTGACATTGATTCACACACAGAGCTACAGAGGAGCGCCCACGCAATCCGGAGACACATGGCCTGGCG